AAAAGCGTTAGCAACACGTACATTTACACTAATGAACAATTGAAGTAATCAAGAACATCACCAAGGTACATGAACATGCAAAATAATATTGTACATAATAATACAATTGCTTTCATAGCTGTGACAAATATTATGACTTTACACAATAACGACATTAATAAGTAAATTTCAAACATGGCTGGCTGCCATTGTACAAAGATATTTTATCTATTGCTACATGTAGTAGCGCATATGGTGATGTAAATTACAAAGGTGTTTCTATGATTGAAATAAGTGATATGTTATTCACACTTTTAATAAAACGAATATGGTATTATCAAGACAACAAAGTGTGGTGGTCATCATATCACACATGGGGAAAAATAAGGGTACCATATTAACTCTTGTACAAATCAATGCCTATTATTAGTAAACAAAAGGCATTACCAAATTTTAAGTTGGCAATTTTTGTGATGATAATAATGCAACTAAGGACTTTAAGGAATCAAAGTTGGTAATTACCAGTAGTGCATATCAATATCACAATCAGATCAATAATTTCATTCATGCGTGACACAGGATGAGTGCAATGGGTTCTGGGTAAATCATAGTTTGTCAACACAAACATCACACTGCCCAGTATTACGTGATAACAAAGCTCAGACAGGAATTTTCTCTCTAATAATGGTCTAATCTGTGTCTCTCCCATTATTGCACATCCCTGTCTGAGCCCTGTTATTTAAATAATAAAAAATCCCCCACATTGGATGAGGAAAATGGTCTATGGCAAGATAACGTGCAAGGAAAAGCTGAACACATCATTCCATCTGGACCCTTCCTTGAAGTTAATATGACATTGTGTGGGGTTTACATGTATTATTGTTGTTCCAAATCACCACCAAATTAATTTTGTAAATTTGAAGCTTAACATAATTGTGTGATACATGTATAAGTAAAACCATGACATCTAATTCTGATAGTGGTGATGTACAACAGACAACTATGAGCAATGAGTTGACGTCATTTATTCCCTAAGTAAATAGTACTGGATAGTTATACTTGGTGAACCTCACCCCCAGACTATGCTTAACCTGCACATACTGTAAAATCTGTATTAGAAACCGCGGCTTCTATTAAAATGGTACAATCCAATAGAGGGGGTGCGGCTTCTATTAGAGCATCTACACATATGAGAAATGATGATTTTTTGGTTCCCAATTGTTTAAAAAGAATGGGTGCGACTTCTATTAGGGATGCGGCTTCTAATACAGATTTTACGGTAACTATAATTACAGTACCATGTGATGAATGCGCGTCTTCATTTTTTTTTCTTTTTTTTCATTCCTCATACTCATCACCATGGAGACACTTGTTTACCATTTTAGCTTGGGCAAACGTGTACCTTTTACGAATGTCGCTTTGTACTTGTATGGAATCAATGTTTTTTTTTTTTATCCGCATGTTCGCTCCTTTTCCACATGTTGCATCAGACTCATTGGAAACTTCAACCTCATTTGATTGACAGTCTGGCTGGCTGACAGATTTAATCAGCCCTATATCATTTAAATAGGGTAATCCATTGCAAAGCCATTCCCATAAAGCACTTTTGGAGACTATCGATATGATCCAACCTGAAATTACTGCTAAGCGAGCAGCCATGGACACAGAAACTACACAGTATGACAGACGCCTAACTTAACCCCCAATTGAGCAGTAATCTAGTTTATAATTTAACAGCAAACAGGTGGCTAGCAGGCTTGAATCACTACAAAGTATATCCAATAAGTGTACAATGTAGCTATGTGATCTGGCAATTATAAACAAATCAAGTACTGGATACTTATATATTGTGGTGCTGTCAATCTCAATTTGTCTGGTACATATACGTTTTTTTCCAAACAACTTTGAATCTTTATTGAAGATTAAATTTGTGGATAACATAAAAAGGAAACAATAATGTACATGTGTAACAGCAGCCTGGCTATAGTGACTAACGATGCACTTCTTACAGAACAGATACTATCATAGACAGATACATATAATGAACTCAACTACCAGTATTCTAAAGGTGATCTATTACTGTCAGTAAATCTATAAAAAGAATAGTATCAGCTGCGTTTACCTTTACCACTATTGTCTGTATATTTTACATGTATATTTACCAGTATTGTAAAATCTGTATTAGAAGCCGCATCCCTAATAGAAGTTGCACCAATTCTTTTCGAACAACTGAGAACCGAAAACTATTTCTCATAAGCGTAGATGCTCTTATAGAACCCACACCCCCTCTGTTGCATTGTCCCATTTTAATAGATGTTGGGTGTTTTATATATGGAATTTATATGGATTTTTGGCGAGTTGAATGGGAAAAAAAAGGGTATATTTGCTGAATTTTTTTACTGAATCATTTCTTCAGCGAAAATAATTCCAAGTAAAAATAAAGTATTTTACATTGTGCAAGAGGGGTTGAACTTTAGCCGTTGAAAGTACCAAACTCCAAGGCCAAAATTAAAAAGAATGTATTGGACTGACTGAAATTGTGAAGAATGTATTTGAAGGGTATCAGGCCATTCAGGCAATTAATTCAACAAAAATTTATTGGTCTGCATAGGTAAGAAATTATAAGGAACATTTGGTTTTTTTGATTGGCAGACAGATGAACTTTGGATACTAAATTACATGTACATAGTGATAGATGTACTGTAAAGGGGGTAATTATTCACTAGGTTTTAATTTAGCTTATTTCGCTGACTGGAAAAATGCGCTAAATTAAAACACAGTGAATATGTGAAATTTAGCATAGAACACATTATCTAAATGACGAAACCGTGAATTTAAAACCCACTGAATATGCCTGAAATTGTAAATCAGTGAAATTTAAACCCAGAGAATATTAGTCATTTTACAGTATCTCATAATCAATCCATTAGATTTACTGGTACATTCATTGATGAACTTTTAGTCTATCTCTCAAGGACTGGAACTTTGGACTGTTTATGTTCCATTTATCATAACAAAACAGAGAACTTTGCTCTCACACAATACCCCATGTGTTCTCAAGGTTATACATGGACAAGGTTATTTCTGATAACAGGATTCAATTTTACATGGCTCAAAACACAAGCAGCATAGTTCATTACAAAGTCAAATGACTAGGACAAAATATTATGCTCCTGTCAAAGGTTGTTTGTATAGAACATTAGCAGCCAAGGATGTATAAAATAACCTGTCTGATATGCAATGAAGATCATGATTTGAAATCCTGTGAGTGAAATGATCACAAAATCAGTGGATTTAAGTGTATATTGTACTTTTTTTAAGAAAGATCAATGCCAATGAGTGAGGCTGTAAAAGAACTGATGAGCATGAGTGAGGCTGTGATAGAACTTACTGGTGAGCATTAGTGAGGCTTTGAAAGAACTGGTGAGCATGAGTGAGGCTGTGAAGGAAATGGTGAGCATGAGGGAGGCTGTGAGACAAATTTCACGTGTTTTTGAATACAATAACCTCATTTCAGCTTACACAAATTCTCCAAACATCCCTTGTGTTCAGTGATGCTATGCAGCGATTGATGTGCACAAGGGAATGAGATTTTTATCACATATCACATAGATGCATATGTACATGTAGATATCTCAGTTGCATATCCTCATCTTGCATGTCCTTGATGCAGCATGGTATTAAACCGAGACAGTACTGCCTGTCTGAATCTTAATAACCCTTTATGTACATCATTTAACATTTTCATGGCAGAATATGCATTTCACAAGCTGATCATTAAAGAGTAAGGACATCTATGACTGACAAGTTACAGTCTAGATCCACTGTCAAGACAAAAATACACTCGGGAATATAGGGGTTAGCTTCGAAGGTACCTTCAGATAATTACTGTAAAACATGTTGAAAAAGCGACATTCAGTTTTAGCAAATTGTGGTAAAATGAAGTAATAGAGAAATGTTGATTTAGCGAATCTCTCTTGTCATTGTTGATTTCCTGTTTTCACAATACTTGTCTGTCACATGCCAAAACAAATGCACAGTTATCCCTCCATAAAAACTGAAAACTGTCAAGTGTAATTAGGAAGCGCCCCAGATTTTTATGTTCCGGTTACTGTATACAAATCCCTAAGCCTAGTCCATTTTGAATTTATAATAAAGTCATTAGCGACATCTTGAATTAGCGATTCAGTTCTCTTGCTAAAAAGACAAGCTCGCGAAAAAGACGCGTTTTACAGAATTTCAGGTAAAATTCCTACTGTTGAAATGAATATCTCACAACATACATTGTACACTCATCAGCAGAAACACAAAAGTGGAAAAGAGAGGTTTTTTTTTTTTTTTACATAAATCAAATGTCACAAAAATTAATGGGATGGAGACGTGGATGTATTTTTTACTACTCTTATTATTCAATAAAGCCAGTTTACCACAGAGAAAGTGAAACTACAATTTTATCATTGTGCCTCAAAATAAAATCACTTTTATTTTTTGCTGATATGTAAATTGCACTAGGTTAATTAAATATATGCAAATTTGAAAAAATAATGTACTGTTTTAATTTGCGAACCAGAGCATTTGAAACCTAGTGAATATCTCTGTACCATCAAATCTAATGAATTTACTGAATATTTCTTGAATACTCACAGTAAACTGAAGTTAATTTTGTGAGAGCCAAGATTTGTGCTTCTCAGCGATTTTCATCCACACAAATGGAATCAAATTATCAGATCACAAAATAGACAGTAAATGTTTATTTTGATAAACCATCACTGTAGTGACATGGCCTGACATGTGGGAGTGACTGGCCCCCTCGCCGGCCGAATGGCATCAGACCCCACTAAGACCTGACAGAATAGTGTATGACTCGTTGGCAAAACCAAAACTGCAAATTCGCAAAGTTCACGCTACTTGCAATGAGTTGCAATGAATACTCATTTTAGTGGTCATGGTAATATCGTCAATCATTGGGCAGAAATTAGCCAGCACCTTATCACACATTATGTCAACAAATAAACTCTGCTGTGAATGGTTATTCTTTGATGGCTGTCACTATCTGATGTTCCTGCAATTTGATTGGTATCGACAAAAGATTGTCAGGGAAGTGAAAAAATACATCGTTTTGTCACGTGTGTGTTGGGTTTGGATCACTACGAAAAGGTGTAACTTGCGCGACCTTGTCAGCATATGTGTGACATTGACATAATTGTCTCAATAAACTATGCAGATTTATTCACATGCATCTTACTGACACATGTACACCAACATGTTACAATGTGTATTACAAAGAATAACTATAATTGATAAATCCAACAATATAAAACGAGATGCCAAAACATCAATGTCAGATTAAAAAATAAATAAAGCACTAAAGCTGTGCATGAAGTTTGGTAAAAAATCCATGCGATGTGTGCAACATGTGTAAATTACTAGTAGATGGTTCACATATAATTAGAAGGTCCACTGACCAGTCAAATTGTAGGAACTGACCCGGTCAAACTTGTGGATAGCAACTACTCAGGAAACTGCAGTCAAACTTGTAAAACTTGCGTAAAACAACACACTGCAGTCAAACCTAAATATAGTGACCACATCATAGTGATAAACCAGAGTATACAAAAAAAATGTACTGGTAGCCTGCATTGGGACAGCGCAATGGTGGTCACTACAGGCAGGTTGTCCTTATACTACCGTAAAATACTTTATTTCTGCTTGGAAAAAATTTTTGCTAAAGGGATGATTCAATGCAAATAAAATCTAGTGAATATATATTTTTTTCCTATATGTTATATTCAATGCATCAAAAATCAATGAAAATAAATTCCATACAAAACACCCAAAAGCTATTTTCAGCAAAAATAAATTCCAGCTAAAATAAAGTATTTTACAGTAAACATAACATATTGACGCATTCTATTCTAGACCTAATGAACACAATGCCATAATGTTGTGATTTCATAAACTCAAAATTGTCACATTTTTCAAAAAAGGTTATTGTCAATGACATCATAGATTTTGTATTTGGCAATTAAACTTTGCTGAAGTCTAGTTTTATTCAAACCAAAAATGAAATGAACATCAGCAACAACTCACATGTCAGAAAAACGTTTGATTAACTTGACATTAACCAGATACCCATTAGTTAAACTTCATTGTAATCCCCAAAAAAATTGGAATGTAAATCAAAATGACTGCCTATACACATAATTTAAACAAAACCAGTGAGTGACAGTACGTGAAATGTGACTGTCGTATTATTATACATCTGTCACATTATCTGATATCACCATAAGTTACAACATGCTGTACATGTAAAAGTATTAGAAATATTACATGGGGTATCGGCATGGCGTATCTTGGGGTATTCAAACATGAACCGATTAAGAAGTACCGGTATGTTGAAGAAGTCAGTTGTTATCACAGCGAAAATTTCCAATAATTGTCACTATTTTGCTCAGTTCTGGCAATGGTTACAAGGTCATATCGACCTCTGCATACACGTATAACCTCACATTTAATTAGTAAACAATGACCTCATTGAATTTTCATTTTCGTACTTTGTTAAAATTTGTCGCAGTAGAGTAAAAAACAATAATATAAATTCTGGTACAGATATAACATGCCTGATCAAAACACTGCAGATGATGTATCGATCATCCTAATAATTCAATGACAATTTATCGCTTCAATTGGAATCAACTCACATGGCTAACTTCACTGGTCTCCACTGAACTCCAGTAACCAAGCAGCACCTAGGCAAGTGTGATTCACTGGTCTAGACTGAACTCCAGTAACCAAGCAGCACCTCGGCCAGGTGTGACATAATATTCAAATAGATCATCTAATATGTAACTACCTCTTTAAACTGATAAACAGTCTCACACTGTGCCATAGGGGCATCTTCTGAAAAGGCTTGAAAATTAGAAGGGACACAATTGCATGGCAGTGCAGGTCAAGGCAAGCATCTTGACTACCATTGTTTGTGTATGTTGGGGTATGAATCTAACATCATCAGCTTCACACTTTAGATATCAGCACATTCGCTGGTACAGATTCAACAGCTGTGATGTGCTAACAACATGTCAACCAGACAGTTAAAAAGAGACAGTAATACAGTATATTTATAAACATGAGATCATATTAAAATAAGGCTGAATATAAAATAAATAAAACAATACAGCTAAATTTGAGAAAATAAACAAAACAAAAAACCCTGCCTACATGTACTGACCTACCTGTTGCCGGAAACAGGTAATTGTTTTATTTGGTCTAAAGTAAAAAATCAAATCATTCTTTTTGGAAAATGTTACTGTTAGCTAATTAGTCTTAAAATTGAAAATAAAAATATTGAATAATAAAATTAAGGTTATGTATCATCTTGTTAGTGTATTTATTAGTCTTATTTTTATATTCAAATTAACAATAACATGTACTTTGCCCATGTCAACCTGCCTACCGACACACCCACAGATTGTGAAGGGTCATCAAGTCGTGCAACATCACAAGACGAAAGGGCACGTGACCTTTGCCGTGAACTCGTCATCGGTATTAAAACAATTATTGGAATGTTGGTGTGTGTCACAAATAAACAATTAATAGACAATCGGCTCATTCGCTGGATCACAGTCATGCCTGGTACAGGAACTCTGACAGAATAAACTTCCACAAGCGAAACACACACACGGAAATTTTAAGATGCAAACTTCGGTCAACAGTCACGTTTATATCAGCAGTATTACTATCGACCGGGGAAAATGTCAACACAAGAACTACAAAACACGAACCAATCGAGGACTGAAATTAATTTAAGAAAGACGTGCTAGCAAATGAAATGTTAACCTACTACGAGCCAGACTGGTTATAATTCATGTACGTCACATGCGTAAACACTGACCGGTTCAATCGTCATCTCATCTTTCAGAACATATCTCGCGGCTTAGCAACGCAGTGCCACTGCTCCGAAAAACATGAATGGTATAGAGTGACAGCCCTTTGTGACACTGTCATGTTGGAACGCTGAAACGACATGACCTAAAAATCCAGAAAGTTCGTATGTAACCCGTACACGATAGATCATGTTTGGAAACATTCGAAACTATGCACAAAAAAGGTCGCAGGGAGAGGAAAACATGCCATTGTTTTCGCAATTTATTTGCTATATACGAAATATAAGAAACTTGATCAGAGACATAACATTACCCAATGCCCAGATGTTGGAAAACTTACCTTGAAATTGCCAAGTTCACTGGAAACAGCAGTAACATAAACCGGCAAAACACCAACCATGTGATCCGGCGCATGCGTAGTGAAATCGGAAACGCGGCCTATGTACTCGGCTGCTTGCGGTCAATAGCTAATTTCCCATACACCCTTGCGTGCATACCTTCCTGGCAAATCAATCAATTTTAATTGGCAACGAGCCATAGAGGTAATATATGCAGGGCGACAACGATGACAGCGGGCTCGAACAAGGAGATAACTAAAGTATTTGACTTACTTGCTGAATAGCCTAATAAATAAACAATTGAATCCTGGCAGGGTTGTGCAAGTACACCGTTGAGGGCGCAGATTCTGAACTACAAACACGAACTTATCATACTAGTACACACTATTGAGACTTATGGTGTCTTTGTCGGAAATATTAATTAATAGTCCATATGTAACAGTTTGTAATGGTGAGCAGATATCGATATTTTTATTTTGTTAGCAAAACAGCGCAAGAATCTAACGTCGTATGTCGTTTATTTGCGCATTGTGGACCACTGTTTAGTGTTTTGGTGTAGGCACGGTTACTCTTTTTCAGTAACCGTGGTGTAGGAGGGGGCTTCTGTAAGTCTAAAATCAACAAAGATGCTACTATTGTTTATTGTAGGAATTATGTAAAGAAAACAAGACTGGAATTTGAATAATCATTACCTTCCATGGAATAATTCAGAATGACAACAGAGTTGACCTTCAGTGTGCTAGTGCACAGTGCTACAGATAATCTCAGTTTCCTCTCAATAGAACACGTGCAATAGAACAAGTTTTGCTAAAACATTTTAATATAGTAGTTACATTGTCAATATTTGTATGCATACAACTATTGCTTCAGTACCCGTAAGTGCCCGAATTTGGGTACTCACGTAAGAAACTATTCAATTCTCACAAGAACCAAATCTAAAATGCTTTTCATATACTGTAAAGGGGGTAATTATTCACTGGGTTTTAATTTAGCTTATTTCGCTGACTGGAAAAATGCGCTAAATTAAAACACAGTGAATATGTAAAATTTAGCATAGAACACATTATCTAAATGACGAAACCGTGAATTTAAAACCCACTGAATATGCCTGAAATGGTAAATCAGTGAAATTTAAACCCAGTGAAAATTAGTCATTTTACAGTAGATTAGTTGGAAACACGGTTAGTAACGGTTAGTTAACGGTTATACTGGTAAACACTGTAGCCATCGTTTACTAATTACTCCCCTCTGTGCCAGCAGCCACTGAAACAACCCCTGAAATTCCTTACTTGTACAACCTACGTATACACCAATATCTGTATTATGTAGGGTTTATATTTATGAGCACTCAGTAGAAAAATACGTAAACGTATTTGTTTTACCAGAAAAAAAAACTGTAAAATATATGTTAGGATGCCATTATAAAATATTATAAATTATGGTTAAAAACGTAACAATATTAGTAGCGTTCACACACAGCTTTCTCCTTAGCCATGGAGCTAAAAAAAAAAAGGAGAGTGAACTCCCTTTGATGCTATTGTTACCATGACTTCTGCCGACTATTTGGTCAACAGATAACACTTGACGGGTTTATGTAACTTCTAAATTGGTGATGTGTAATACACAAGTAATTGTGATGGAATGTAGTGGGGAACAAAGTATCGTTAACTTCCAACCCGCCACAATATAACTATCCCCTATCCCTTAATATGAGCTATCAACACAAATCAAAGCAACGCAACGCATGTCAAATTCAATCGGCGATTGCCGGTTTGGCCGTGATGTGCCGCTATTGGCACCTACCCTAACATGGCATAGAATAGGTCAGCTTACTATTTAACTAAATTTCGGCGTCCGCGGGAAAAGATTTTACAAAAAAATAGAATTTACCGGAGCTCAAATTTAACGCGTCGTTTATCCAAGGCACGTGTTGTCTATGAGGGCCCACACAGGAAGTAGGACAGATGAACAGAAATGAAAAACGTGATTGTGAATTTGGCTATGGGAGCTCGAACTTCAATTCAAGCTTGTTGGAAAGTACATGGAAAACACTATATATCGGTAGTAATTTTATCGTCTGCGGCCAAGTATTTTATTTTAAAATCAATTTCTTGTGAGCAATGTTTTACATTACGATAACCACATACATTGTATGTATAACTTGCTGA